TTAATATTATTAGTGTACTGCTACAACATATAATTATACTGTTAGTCAACAATTAGTAAAGAGGCAAAGAGTGACTTGCTGTGAGAGGTTAGTTAGTAAATTAAATATTATTTTTATCCACTTACATAGAGCTCTGAAATATCTTGACACAATTTATCCACAGTGTGGTTGCACCATTTATGCACAGTCAATATGAAAGCAATAGTTTTCTTCAAACACAAGATAGTTTGCACCTGACAACTGTCGATATTCTCCAGATATGGCTTCTAAATTACCTGTTTGTATTATCCCTAAAAGTAAGATTTCTACATTTAAAGTAGAAAAGTAATTAACAGCCAGTTCCCAAAATTGCGAACTACTGACTAGAAACAGTGACTCTGACACACACATCACAACACGACTGTCTTCTGTGAATTAAAATTAAAATTGCTGTATTTCCACTTCACAATATCCATTTGTAGATTTGTAATACGAATACGTTTAGAACACAGGACTTTGTAAGCATATTAATATGTCACACAATGCAACATGCAAACGCTCCCAGTAACCTATTTTCGAGGGGGAATCCTCCAAAATGTACCGTGATTCAGTTGTCAGGACTGAATTTACAGCCGGACGTGGGTGAGCGTAACGCTCTAGAATCTTTGAGTATGATGTAAGATAAACAATAAAGACCCCTTTCAACACCTTTAGGCGTATAAGTATTTAGGAAGAGCACCCATATTTCTACAGACCAACTGGCACTGGGTGGGTAATGTGGTCAGCATTACGCTGGTCATCTTTACTTCCCCAGAACATACATCCTGGGACATGCGACGCCCCATACTATGATAAAAATCCACGCAGCCAGCAGTGGGTTTCGATCGCGGTACGTTGGAATTACGAGTCGGCCTCGCAACGCTTAAGCCACGGACGCCACCTTTCAGTATGATGTACACACACAGAATGTTGGATGTTGGGATAAGATGACCTCACTCATTCATTTTACCAGCTGCTGCTTCCACAGTCAACGTTGACTGTATTAGATCTCCAACCGACTCTTTCTTTTGCCCTTTTGCCGGTGACGTAAATTCTATGTGATTGTTGTTCGTCCATCTCTTGATATTATCGTCCCACTTGTGTGTCTGCTTCTTGCTTGCTTGTCTCCCATCCAGTATAGTTTGTGTAGGCGTCGGTTGTCTTTTGGTATGGCCAAAACATTTCAGTAGAAAGCATGCCACAACAATATTGTCTTTACATGCAAGTAAAAAATAAAATTAATCACACAACTACACACACTTGACCACTGGTTACTTTGTAACCGCTTTGGGCTCTTCAATATGACTATGATATTTGGCGATAGGGTTGAACAGGGTTTCAGGGATTTGTAGCTGTTTGATTCTCATCTTTGAGATGTTAATCCTACGGAATTCAAATCTGGATGTGACACTAAATAAAATAAATAATAATAATAATAATAATAATAATAATAATAATAATTATAATAATCAGACAACGTAAACTATGTATTAGTAGAAAATCAAATGTAATGATCATCAGCTTTACACGCCTTGACCAGAAGACCATTCCCACTAATATGGAAAAAATATGTATATATATATATATATATATATATATATAAACACACACACATACATATAGATATCATGAAGATGCGGCTAAATGACAGTAATCAGCATGCGCATTTTATTTGGAGGTTCCTTGCTTTGAAGGTTAATAAGCGCTTTTCACGATGCTCGACGTGTCTGGGTAAGATTGTTTTGCCAGCGGTTTAGGGGGAAGAGGGGGGGGGAGCAATTAGCGTTGCGTTGCTTTCTGATAGTGTTAATGGAACCACACAGTGGAAGTGATTAGGACTCACCACTTAATATTCCCTAGAGAAAGCAGTGAAAACACATAAACACAGTAGTCAACCTCCAATGCAGAGACTGCTTAATGTCTATGCTCCTAGAGATATGAATTATAAGCTGCATATGCAGGGGTTTGTTACCACAGAACTGGTGTGTCCCATGCAGTAATACATGTGCACTTGCTGGTTTGTCGTGACTACTACTCCCCTTAGTAAGGATAGCAATTTCATTGACACTTATATATGTTTGCACTACTGCCAACTGCCTCATGGTTTTTATGCATATGCGAGCTCTTTTATAGTTGGCCGAGAATGATGTTTGTTTCGTTTTTCACATGGGACAGCGACGAGTATTTTGTGCGATTTCACTGTCACAGTAACGGGGCAATAAGGTTGGAGCACCGACTCATGGCCCAGTGGAGGCAAACACGCGAAGACAATTATCACACATATCAGACAAGGAAATCAGTCAACATGTTTGCCACACTGTGAGAAAAGAGAAACTGGAAATATTTATGGCACAATAGACTCAGGAAAACAACTTGAGCAGATTCTTCACAACATATTGTCATGTCAGCATAGTAAATGACGCATGCATTTTTGACATGATTTTAGAGAACATTATTATTATTGTGATGGTAGAGGACCCACACAGACACACACACACACACACAAATGATGAAGGGATTGAAAATGTCACAGATTTTGAATATCTAAGTTCTAGACTAAATAGCAATGGAGACAGAAATCAAAAGGAGGATAGCCATAGCAATACAATTATTAAACAATACTAAATATCTATTTTTAAGCACTAGCAAGGAAATCAAATTAAAAATTTTGAGAGCATGCATCTTCCCTATAGCAACATACGGGTGTCTTCTTCTTCTTCTTTGCGTTCACCAACTCTGGCGGAAAGTTCTGGTTGCTCGTCCATTACTGAACTGCAGTCCTGCTCCAGAACCTGAGTGTTGCGTGTGCATCAGTTTTACAGATCTCATTCTCTTGAATACAGACTGTTGTTTCCTTGCCTCTCCGGCAAATGCACTCCGACTTCAAAGGAAACTCCCCAATTAGTCGACTCTTACGACATGCTTTTGGGGAGGCAGTGGGTCTATTCTTGTTTTCCCCACAATAGGGCCCAGGAACCCACACGGGGGACATACGGATGTGAGACGTGGATTATCTTCCAGTCCTTAGGAAGAAAAAAAAATAGGGGCTTTTGAGCTGAAAGGCTATAGAAAGATTTTCCGAAAACAATAGGATGGGGTGGGGGGGGGGGGGGGGAGGGGGGGGGGGGGGTACAGAAGAAATCATGAAATTTTAAAAGATCTGAACATCAAGGAAGATTGCCTGTTAAACAGCATCTTGTCTTGGAATCTGAAATATTTTGGTCATATCAAGCGCCATGGCGGATTGGAAAAAAAATAATAGCCGAAAGCATAGTACCAGAAAGGAGGGCCGACCAACACGAAGATGGAAACAGGATATGACTTCTTGAAAATGAAAGCAGACGAGGCGGGAGAGCTGGCTAGAGATCAAGTTTATTTCAGGCATACTGTCATGATAGCGATGTGCTGTAAAGGACCTGCTACATGATGATGATGATGCTGGTGGTAGTGGTGGGGTGCTATTGCTGATGATGATGGTGATGAATAGGACGGCGCTAGGTAGGGGAAAAGGTCGGGGGGTAGGTGTATAGTTAACCTTTAAAAGCCGAAAGGATCGATTACATTGCACAAGGTTTCATCCCAAATTGCTAGGTTTCTCTCCTCAGAACGGTTAGCTGCCTGTCAAGAGCGTCGCACGAAACACGAATTCCATAGCTCTATCTACTTTTACACTAACTTTCGTAAAATCATCACCCGTCAATCGTGATTAGAACTCAGCAGCTCAATAGAGTAATAAATAAAACACAGCACAACACAAACACAATGTGTAATTAGTTTAGTTTTTTTTTTTTTTGTTGCCCTTGTTTAGTGGTTATTTTTATTAGTGTGTTTTGTATATAAAGACTGAGGTCGAAATGTTCGGTGTATTTGTGTCCGTCTTTTCCATTCCCTCTATTAAGCTTTTTAGTCACATGTTTGATGTTTGAGGGTTAAACAACAGATCAACATCATGGCACACAGGTAGTAACCTATAAGTGCTCCGTTCTTCTTCTAACTCAAGTCTGAGTCCGAAGAAGCTCAGCATATTGCACAGGCTCTCTAGCACCAACGACGATCCTGAAATACTTTAGGTAGATTTTTAATTCAAAATTTTGCCCAGGCAGCGCTTTTAGGCTACTCTTTTTAATTTCCAACTGCCAAGGGATGTTTTACGCGCCACAATGCTCATGGGCGTCCGATCTGCCTACACAGACACCAGAGGGAATTACTAAAATTCTAAGTCCACGTGAAAAAAATCCCAGTTCTTACTGGGAATTGAACCCGGAACCTTTTTACAATGTCTCGAGACCACACAGCTGCCCTGTCACATGTTGATTTGCATTTAGCACTGGTTGATATCAGCTCTCTGAACACACTCCTGTATACCAAAGTACATAAATGGTATATACAATGATTCTAAACCTTTTATTTCCAGGCGTGGTGCAAAGTGATTCACATTGTAACCCAGTACTCCTCCGTCAGTAACTACTTGTGGATGTTCTGTGAAGGATTTTTTCTACACACTATTGTGGTTCACGCATTTTCCAAGCAGAAGAAATTGTTTTTTGCTTGCTGTATAATTGGCTGGGGTAATTTGCTGTCAGTGTGTTTACCATTCGTGTAAACAGCTTACTTACCTATGTATTTATCTCAGATTACTTACCTATATATGTACCTTATATCTCTATTTCTTTATTTCTCGAAGTTTGTCATCTGTTTGACTCTCATCGGTGATGTGTTCATGCAATAAACAGTATTATTGCGCTGAACATATTTCCTTAAAATTATTTTTAATGTTACTGAATCCATGCAATATGGCGTCAACATAGTACTTATCCTCCTCATCATCATCCTCATCGTCTCATCTTAATCGTCATCTTCATCATCATCGTCCTCAATATCGTCTTCGTCATCATCATCATCATCCTCACTCTCAGTAGTTGTTTGCAAAGACACAGGGGGAAAAAAGCATATTACAGGTTAAAAGCAAATTGCAAACAGTGATGCAGGAACCTAGAGGTGAAGGCCATCACCACCTCTCACAACCCCAACTAACAATTAAAATATTGTTCAGGGACCTTTAGTCTATGAATGCTCCAATTTCGCAATAGCCATTTTAGCAACAGAAAAATTAAATAATTCGAAAGTAAGTTTTTCCCTTCCGGATACATAACTGAAGATTTGGCCACTGCCGCAACTTCAAAGGGAGGGCAAACAAAAAGGAAAAGCTCCTTCGATCCGGTTCAGCCTCTAAATTATAACCGGAAACGGTTCCACAGAGTATTATCCTGGCGTACCTTTTAGTCTTATGTGTGAAGAACCGAATCTAATTTCAAAGTCTAAATTCATTTTGTTAGTGCACCGTGAAACTTTGAACTTACATATTAGTAAAAACATATAAACAACAAAGTCTCTTTAGATTGTCAGTCAGTCAGTCAATCTGTTAGTTAATTCTTTAGTCAATCAGTCAGTCAATTAGTCAGTTAGTTTAGTTATTAGTTAGCTAGCTAGCTAACTAATAACTAAACTAACTGACTAGCTAGTTAGTTAGTTAGTTAGTTAGTTAGTTAGTTAGTTAGTTAGTTAGTTAGTTAGTTAGTTAGTTAGTTAGTTAGTTAGTTAGTTAGTTAGTTAGTTAGTTAGTTAGTTAGTTAGTTAGTTAGTTAGTTAGTTAGTTGCTTAGTTAGTTAGTTAGTTAGTTAGTTAGTTAGTTAGTTAGTTAGTTAGTTAGTTAGTTAGTTAGTTAGTTAGTTAGTTAGTTAGTTAGTTAGTTAGTTAGTTAGTTAGTTAGTTAGTTAGTTAGTTAGTTAGTTAGTTAGTTAGTTAGTTAGTTAGTTAGTTAGTTAGTTAGTTAGTTAGTTAGTTAGTTAGTTAGTTAGTTAGTTAGTTAGTTAGTTAGTTAGTTAGTTAGTTAGTTAGTTAGTTGCTTAGTTAGTTAGTTAGTTAGTTAGTTAGTTAGTTAGTTAGTTAGTTAGTTAGTTAGTTAGTTAGTTAGTTAGTTAGTTAGTTAGTTAGTTAGTTAGTTAGTTAGTTAGTTAGTTAGTTAGTAGATCGAATATTCTCATCGCACATAGGTCAAGACCATATGTGCGCGGATCCTATCTTCCGTATATCCCTTACAGTGTGGCGACCGATGGCACCAGTTCTGTGTTGGTTTACTATTCTTCTTTGGCTACCTGTATAGTTAGTGCTCATGCCTGGCAATACCTCTTTTGACCTGACACATTTGTATAGTCTTTTTAATGTTGCCAATTATCTGTCGTCTGCTGAGTTACCTAATCACCTTGCCTCCTGGAGATCATTGAGAGCGTCAAAGAGATCCATTGGTTGTCATCTACCTAACGTGACCCTACCAGCATGCCAGTCCGCTAGTTCATTCCCTCTCACCCCAGAGTGCCCTGGCACATAAAATGTAACTGATTCCTATCAGATAAGATTTCCTCAGAGACTCCAACCGTTGTCTTCGATCCCATCCTATCTCGATCTTTTCAAGTATGCTCATGAAATGACTTAGAAAGCTTGCCTGGGAAAAAGTATTCTCTAGCGAAATCAATGCTTTTGTTACCACCATCCCCTCCATAGTAAGACTATACTGTAGTCGTTTAAAAACACCGATATTTTCTTTTACAATTTTTCCCCGAACCACAGCCGTGAAAGTCCATAAACTGTCGATAAAACAAATATGCCTATACTCACCTTAATGGGTCTAAGAAGGTGACGTACTTACCGCAAAGTGTATGTTGCAACCTCGATGAGAACACGATGCCTATAAAGGTGTTGGTAGTGCAGAATATTGCGTACCCCCAGAAAAAGTGCCAAATAAATCTTTAAATACCTAACATTGCAAGGGTTGTATTTTTTTAATCGGCTGCAATTTTTTTTTTTTTAAAGAACTCGTACAAAATAGATATGGATTTTCTCTATCTTACATTAATATTACTACCTTAAACTGTGATAACGGAGGCCGCGTTAGCGCAGTCGATAGGAGACCCGCTTTTAAATCCAGCTGCCACTCGCTGCAGTCCACGGCCAGTGTTTGAAATCCCGGGGTTCACACAGCCTCTGGGAAATGGGTACCAGAGTAAAAACTCTGGGGTAAATTGAGGAACGTCGCTGTAGCTACGGAGTTTCGTGCGGACGTTTCTCATCAGCTGTCCGCACTGGTGGCAGAGCACTTGTGGTTTATAAATGTGCTGGTTCACATTTCCTGATTTTATCTTTACTTTTTTACCCCAGTCTGTAAATAAGAAGTTTAAAAAAAAAATCAGTGTAAGTAAAGTAAATAAACTAGAATGACCCTTTTCGCGCAAGTGGCATACTGGGTAAATAATGTTGACTCGGTTTTTCAAAGACCAGTCGGCATTCAGTAATGCAAATTTATATCTTATTGCTGGCCTTAAAATCAAAAAAATTGTGACTACTGGTTAAACAGATACGTCTATAGATATATTCATTAAAGATGAATTATAGAAAAGCACTTTTGAATATGTAGGCTGCTGCTGGGAAATAACGGAAATAGTGGCAGAAACTCAGGGGGGAAACTGAGGCATATGATTACAACGTTACTTTTTTATAGGCCATCTGGCCCTCGATTGGTTTTGGTGGACCGGGTTGATCACCCCTAACACAGTATAATACCTCCGATTTCGCAAACCAATATAGAAATATGTCCCTAGGGCCCTTCGAAAGAGGGGGAGAATAAAGGGCCCAATCAAATTGATACAAAAGGTGACGACAATGCTAGCCCCCGGACTCCGACTCTTGCCCAACGTCCGGGCTAGCTCCGTACATCTGGGAAGAGCTTCACGCGGTTGCATGGTTTGAGAACTCATGCCGGAAGGATGAAATGCGAGGGTGCTCCATGCAGTAAACGTCGTCGCAAAACTACTACTCATGTGGTGGTTTCTGAGTCGTCAGGGAACGACGGGCAGGGTGTTCCCCACTCGCCCGGAGAGGCCCATGACGTCGACTGCGGAGGCGCACGTTTTGATGATTCCCGAATAAGTACGTTCCAAAATCAGGTTTCCACCTGCGAGCAATAAGGTGGTGTGGTGCGAGTTAGAGGGTACATTATGTGAGATACTTAAACATGATTAAAATAAAAAGTCGTTAGGCGACAAGCTTACAAAATTTGGTGATATTATTTATGAACACTGCTCCCGTCAGCTCGGGACAGTGGAGAAAGCACAGCCGGGTGCCAAGCAGAATACTAGCAGGAGACAGAGGGACATTCTTAAGTGTCAGGCAGACAAGAATGCTCTTAGAAAACGGTTCAAAGCCGCTACCGGCAGCGAACGGGAGGCTGTACGAAGTCTGGTTGCATTTAAAGAACAAACACAGTGCCCTCTGTCGCGCTGAGCGTTTCTGTAACAATAGAAGAAGAACCAAAAGGGAGCGAGAGAAATTCTTTAGGGACCCGTATCAGTTTGCCCGAGGTCTATTCGAGCAAAGGGCCCTCGCAACATCCAGCTTGTTAAAAATACCTATATGAAATACAGACAGTGCGTTAAGTCCCTGCTCCATTGGAGGACATAAGGGCAGACGATTGTGTTCTTAGTTTTGCGTCAGGGGTACTTCATATGTTGTTATTATTACATGTTATGTAAATTGTTAGTCGATTTTGTACATTATAGACTGTGAAACTCTAAAACTGTTAAAGTCCGGCTCTTTGACTTCTTTTACAGGATTGCCAATTCTACCAGTAACAGCCTACGTCCTAGCAAGAGCTTTGGATACGGTAAATGATGTTATGTAAGTAACTACTACATTATATATGTAATATTTATTCAAAATAACATTTTCTGATTGCATAAATAACGTTCTAAATTTAAGTTACGAAGTCATTATTAATTCTTCTCTTTACCAAGACAGTAAAATAATAACCCTTTTGATGCCATTGATACTTTTTAGACCAGTAGGCATTTGATCTGTGAAGTGGTTGATACCACCCAGTCGCATTTTCGTCCCGGACTATTTCCCGGTACACATTTTAGGCTGAGTTGATTTGGCAGCCTAGATAGAACCTTTATACAAATTAGTCTAAAGCAGATTTGACACCAAGACCTTTGGACCACCAGGACCAGCTCACGGAATGTCTTAGTTTGTCTGTGTCTCTTCTACCACTGATATTTTCAACTGTCACGATAATCGCCTATGTCTGTCTTTTCACTACATTATGGCACACGCAAAAATATTTATCTCATTAGGCAGTTGCCAGTAACATTCTTCTTGCATTAGAGTTTGTGTAATTCTAGCTAGTTACTTGTATAGTAGTTATAGCCTTCGTATTGTCGAATGTTAAGCCGTTATATAGTCTAGGCCATGAGATACGAAGTTGTCTTTTATTCGTAATTTTAGTGGTACCTCTGTATACGTAATTAATCCGTTCCAGATACTTTGACGCAAACGAAACAGGACGTACAGTCAATTGCGTATCCTTAACAAGACACTGCAAAATCAACCCCAGCATTGTTATATTGTGTGTGTGTGCGTGCGTGCGTGCGTGTGCGTGTGCGTGCGCGTGCGTGTGTGTGCGTTCGCAGCTCCAATCAAACCCGGCACTCAGGTATTATAAAGCGCGTTCGTAGCGCCTAAGCGACAGACGAAAAACGAATTTTCTCATAAGAAATATGAGGAGAATGAGTAATCCTTCTAACCGAGGGGAAAACATTTATATTGTTATTGGCATATTATACATTAACGGGATTGTATAAAATAATGTAAACACTGATTAGTAACAAAATGCATAACATGCAAAAGCTATCAGATAAAATGAATCTAAATTTAACCATGCTTTAGCTTACTGAGAAGAGTCGAGAGTCCCACTATGATGGTGCTGAGAAGGGATGAGGTGGAGATGTTATTGTTTGGAGGAAGAGTTTTCCAATAAAACCAGTAATCTGAATGTTGTTCCCTCTTTTTCCCTACGTGGGCCTTGTCCAGGTTCTCCAGATTTGACCTTAACTAAAAATGTGTCTAAAGATCTTTACATCTGCCTTCTCCTCATGGTAGTTCTAAAATGTAAGATTTTCTGGTCATTCTAGACAATTCTATTACGGCTTGTTAGGGCTTTGTTAGGTGATGTTGTGATTCATTTTTTACTCATATAATTTCTAGCAGGCTATTCGTATTCTAACACAGGTTGTATGCTAAGCAAAACTGTTCGCGTTTAAACATGACTTATACTAAGTTGGTCTTATTAGAAAGTGGAGGTATCGGAGGTATACCAAGACGCCAATGCACAATAAAAATGACAATTGCCCATTACCAAGTGTTTTACTCAGACAGGGGTCAGGGTTCAAAAGTCCAGTCACTTAATATTTTGATGCATAAAATATGTGAGATAATAACACCTCACATCCTAACTGCAAATGCTGCCTTATACAATAAATGGAAAAATTACGGCTAGAAACTCAAATAACACAGATATTTATGATCATTTTCTTTCTCCAGGTGCTGGCTTCACCCAACATGGACTATGTGGTTTCTGAGTACGCCCATTGTTTTATCTCTAGTGGTACGTACATCGTGACATTTTGCGAAGCGTGTTACCGTTTAAACTGACTGACTTTCAACTCCACCAGGACCCTACAACGAACGACCAACAAACGTTGACAAAAAGTGCCACCATTCGGATGAGGATCACACAAGCACAAATAGTAGAAGCCCCATTTAAACCGTAGGTTATATTTAGGGCCCTTGGCAAGAGCCAGGTGGGGAATTAAATAGGCAAAAAACGTGGTCCTAAATAGGAGTGGTTTTTTTTTTAAATCCGCTTAACTCATTCGTTGTTAATTAAAATAAAGACGTAGTGTGGTGTTTGTTATCTTTCGCAGTATAAGAATCATAATGAGTATTCTAAAGATATTATTTCGTGCTCTGTCTGTTCTGAACCTTATTATATGTTTGTTGATAATTCATTCATGTTAAGAATTTATTCTAATGCCTGCTGGAATTTTTATAAGTGCTTGTAAATCGTGAATAAGGGATAATTTTCTACCCCCTTAGGCGTATTGGGCGTATAGGGCTATATCTAAATTTTATAGGGAGTTACTTCCCAGGGTTTGTGTCTTAAACCCACTCAAGACTGGGTCGACCTGGAAGTCAAAGTCACTTATGAAAATTGTCCGGCTCCTTTAGGAGCAGGAACCGACGTTCTTCCGACCCGTAAGCTAGTGTCTAGCCGCTACACCACGGCGACTTCCCAAGTACCTATAGACGAATATAATAAGCATCACACTAATCTTCTGAATGGGGTCAATGAAAGCAGGGATATGATAACAAGATATAAACTGGATGTTTTCTGCAGCGGTTTGTCAAAAACGGGTAATGCAGATGGGGGCAATTTCACCCATTTATTGAGAAAATGTTAAGTTTGGAAAGCAGCATGAATGCGGTTTCTTAGAAGACTATTGCCAAGACTCTATTAGACAGTCATTTTTCCAAACCACAGCAACGATTGCCTGAAAGGGTGAATTAAAAAAAAGGGTGGGGGGGGGGACTATTGAGCGTTAAATATTATTCGCAGCTATAGGGGAAAAAAGGCAAATAGTGGTTACATTATTGTAAAAGATTTACCGGATAAGACGGTAGATACTGGCAAGATAGACAGTATTAAATGGCAAAGGCCAACACGGAGAAATTATGCTGCGTATTACGACAGTTGCAAGGATAAATATCATCAGTCGAATTGCTTTGTAACATCAAGGATCGAGATGTGTAGAGAGAGATATGGCAATAAATATGTTGCTACCTGGGAAAGATCTGATGATCATGATGCAAAATGTTTTAACTGTCGAAGAACATGCCGAGCACTGTCACGGAACACGGAATAGCAACATGGCAAATAAAAAGTATGGAATAAAGGGCATTTTAACGATAAATTAAAAGCAGTTAACTCAGAAATGGAAATGGTTATCCGAAAAAAAAAAGGAAAAAAAAAGACCATCCTGATTCTTTGCGTATGTGATGAGAAGGAAAATTGGAGAAGGCCGTGACAATAGAAAGCTAACAAGGCAGGGAGGCAGATGGAAACCAAGAGAGAGGGAATGTTAGACACTTTAGCATTTTGACATGGATAAATATCTTGCTTTTTACTGGAACACTGTTCTAGTTGCTGTGGTTTGGGAGTACTTATGGGAATGCGCCGAGTACTAAGAAGCCGATTCTTAACAATTCAGCTAAATTTAATTCATTATTACCAATTCATGATATGCCTAATGACATAGACTGAAAAGATGAAGACAGATGTAGTCTAGGTATATGTATTTATTATATGGAAAAAGGTAACTATAATATTTATAATAAATAACTTATGATCTAAGTTACGTATATTCTTCAGGTGAACTTCATATTGCTTCTCAACATACTCCGCATTCTATTGTCCAAAATTAGAGCATTTAATTCTGCCGAACACAGTCAAAACAGGTAGGTATTTTAACACTCAAATAATGTGTGTTAACTTAACATGTATCGTCGTGTATGTATAGTTGCTGCGGCAAACGCAGCTCTGGGAACCGAAATGATCTGAGATAAGCAAACACTTCTGAGCTGTCTTTTTTTTTCTGGAACTGGGAGTCCCATATATTAGGATAGTCACTTACTGGCACAAATAGGATGATGTGACACAAGCAAAGAATTTAACATCAGCGAAAAATGACGAGCAGGGAAGGATATCACATCAGTGAAGGTTGTCACAGGCAAGGCAAAAAGGTGAATGTCGCGACTTTAAGGTAGAACAGAATTACGGACAGAAGTTAAGAAATGTTATAACTCCAACGCCAATGGCCATACTTGTGTATTTCACTAGAAAATAAATCATTTTAAAAGTTATTCATATTTGGATTTGGATCAGGGAACTTTCCACATTAGAAATGAAGTTGCGACCCTTTGACTCTGTCCTAACTAGATGAATGTTTCCAAAAGTGGTGTTGTGATCCCATTCTCAGGTATTCTAAAGCAGAATCATTGACTGAATGAAAATAGACTGTATTAATGTGTGAACTCTGTGAATGGCTTTCATCATTGTTTTGTCTTTTGATGGTGTACGAAGCAATAAGCATTCAAATTAACATTACAGTCATTGCTGTTTCTATAGCTGGTCCGGTACTGGACAGAAGCGATGTCATCAGAACCATGCTCAGTAGTTAACATGAAGACAAATACAGCAAAGGACATGACTCTGTATCCTTGTCTATATTTATCCACATTGGAGTGCAGCCAGGAGCTGCAAGAAATGAACATTTTACCAAGGGGACAAGACATTTCATTAATCAACACAGAACAGGAGTCATCAGTCGGTTTACACTTTCGGAGCTTTTGAGGAGGAGATCAGAGCACCTATTTATCTGTCTAGTGGTGCTGTGATTATGACCCTCACTAATAACAAAAGCAGACAGATAATTACAAAAATTATAATTCAGATCACTGTTATCATTCTATCACTGAAACTCAGAGAAGATCAGTGTCAAAACTCAAATAAGAGACAGTGAGGGACTGGTTTATGAACTGTGAGAATTGGTGGAAATGTGTCTTGCCTATGTAGCGAATTCTTACCACAAAATAATGTTTAGAAGTGAAGAATCGGGCACTGACTTCACGATTCTGTGTTTTGCAGGAGGGCAGTGAAAGCCACTTTAATTCTAATCCCACTGTTAGGACTGCAGAACATGCTGACCTTGGTAAAACCCGAACTGGACAAGCCAGGACTTTTTGCCTGGGACATGGCATCTGCTGTCCTGGTTTCATATCAGGTAATGTTGTTTCCTTTCCTGTCATTTGCTTCATAAATCGGTTGGATGATATTTTAATTCGATCGAAGATATAAATTCGTTTTAAGTTGTCATATCTGGTGAACTGTATTCTTATCAAAATAGTCTTTCCTTCTTGTGGTCAACACTGCCTGGCAATTGTAGTCATAACTACGAGCAGACTTCTGTTTCGTGTACTGTCAATCATTCTTCGATGTTCTTTCTTGTCGCCCTCTGCCTGCATCTCTTCCTTTCTAATATCCCTGCTGTCTTTAACAACCATGTAAACAGTTTTAAAAGGGCTTAGAACACTCACCTAATTATGTAGCAGGAAAACATGACGCCACGAAAAAAAGGGAGTAAGAGGGGTGCGCCTGTTTGCCCCGCCCTAAAAGTTTTAAAAATGAGGTGCCCTCTTTTCCCTCCCTTGGTTAAGAAAACGTTAGGGGTCATACATTCCCCCCCCCCCCCCCAACCCCACCCAATTTGCCAATAAATTAGAATAAAAAATAGGAGTCTGTGATACCTTTCCCTCCTCCTCCACCCCCCCCCCTCCCTTTTTTTTCCTCCTCGTCGCCTTACAAGGTCTCTAGCCAAATAAGCTACAGTATGCCAAGTGTAATGCTGTTACCTTTCCTTTAGAGAAAACAAAGCACATTGAGAGAGGGATGTTACTGAATGGACACTCCACAATACTGCCTAGGCTATTTTCTATAGAGAGCAGGGACACTCATCCTTGACCGTTACCAAGGGCTGTTATTCAAGTGCCTCCATAAAGCACAATATATCGTCTAGATAGACGGAAAGTTACAAGTTAATATACAGCTGAAGATATGAAATCGGCAAATGGTGTTAACAGCAAATAGGAAAGTTACCAGCTAATTAACAGCTGAAGATATTAAATCAGTAAATATTGTTAACAACAAAGAGGAAAGTTACCATCTAATATACAGCTGAAGATATTAAACCGGTAAATTGTGTTGTTAACAGCAAATAGGAAAGTTACCTCTAATATACAGCTGAAGATATTAAACCGGTAAATTGTGTTGTTAACAGCAAATAGGAAAGTTACCAGCTAATATACAGCTGAAGATATTAAACCGGTAAAAGATGTTAACAGCAAGCACATTATGGTGGAGCAGCCATAAATGAGAATTGTGAAATAGAAGAAAGATTTGTGCGATGCAGTTATGGAGATAATGCAAAGATTTGGACGAACAGTACTCTGCCTGAGTGTACAGTACGAACATGTATGGAGGAATTAATGTCTTATTTATTTACTCTTGACAGGGAGCAGTAGTGGCACTGATATACTGTTTTTTCAATGGTGAAGTAAGTATCACATGGTTTTCTCGCTTAGCTATTATAATAGACAATAAGTGTGAAAGTTCAATGCACTTTATTTTACAAACAGCACTCTTTGAACAAGGAAGCAAATCGTTAAAAAAAATCAGTGATGACAAAAATAACAGTGACTGTAGTCAAGTAAAAACAAGAAGTGCTAAACACAAGGCAAAGTGTGACTAGAACTTTCCTCGGATTTTTTCTCACGCTGTCTTATTTGTTCGTTTCGTCAGCTGGCTCTTCATGATCAAATTTTCTTCCACAAAGGAAAGTCCATAAGTAAGTCATACATGACCATGGGATAGCAGGACAATGTAGCTAGTGGTTTCTAAAGGTGCCATTAGGTGACAGCAGACATCGAACTTTATGTCTCAGCTCGTTAGGTGGCGCAAGGTGATGCATGTACAATCGCAGCACATAAACAAAATGGCGCCGAAGCCTGCTGACTAGAGGAGTACTGCTCCTTCACGTCAATGTCAGACCATATACGGCTCAGTTAACTCAGGAGAAAATCAACCATCTAGGGTGGGAACTTCTGGAACATCCCCGATTTAGCCCTTAGCGACTTCCACCTCTGTGGTCCACTGAAAACCCACCTTGGCGGGAGACATTTTGCGAATGACGCAAAAGTTGAATCTGAAGTAAAACTGTAGTTTACAAAACAGGGCACGCAGTTCTATGCAGCAGGTTTTGGAGGACTGATAAAGCGATGGGTTAAGTTCATTAATGGTGGTGGAAATTATGTTTAAAGGAACAGTGTGTCTTTGAAAATAAACGGTTTTCTAGTTGTTATCGTCGTTAATTTTTTTTTTTTTTTTTTTTTTTTTTGTTTTTTTTTTTTTTTTTTTTAGACAAACATTTGTAACTTATTGACTTCCCCTCGTATTACGTATTCATATTTGGGAATTAAAACAGGGTGTTAGCACCATATGCTAAACGCGTCTTTGTGCTTGAAAATGCCCATTTCCTTAACATGTAATTGCAAAATGTCATGGTAAATTGGAAACAGAATCTTTACCTTTTTCTCCATGTGTATTTTTTTTTTTTTTTTTAATAAATCCCGATCTCTCTTGTAATACCGAGAAACTTGAAAGCTCTGGAGGCGCGTGTGTGTGTGTGTGTGTGTGTGTGTGTGTGTGTGTGTGTGTGTGTGTGTGTTTTATTTTATTAAATAAAAGAATGCGAAGAAAAATAAACATAAACAGAATAACGAATCCGTCTTGAAAGAAATCAATTCGCAAAGAAAACTCCAAACAAAAATGAGATGTGCGGAAATTGGAAAATGTGGCAACAGAAAATTTTCAGTGGGAAGAGAGACGTGGGAAAATGTTAAGAACTGAAGTTTAGCTTGGAGAAATATTTATAGTAGCACTTAAATGGCAAGTGTGCAATGAGGCTGCTCGTCCTAGCGGACGTGACAGGAAATTAAATATTTAGGTAATAATCAAACACTAAAAGGCGGCTTATTTTGAACTCGAGACGCATCGATTAAGCAAAGGACCTTTTTATCCACGCATTCAGTTTTATATTGGGCATATAGGGTGAGACATTTATGTAATAGCCCATCGGCGCTCGATGGGTGATATGATCAACATCCCACAGGCCGTCTTTACTTCCCATAATTTTACCTAGTGTCCATTCAAGGCTGGGTCGACCTGTGAGCCAAAGATATTTTTGAAAAAAGTCCAGCTTTTTCAGGACCTGAACCCACGGCCATTGGATCCGTATACGAGATTCTAGCCTCTACATCACGGCCGCTCTCTAAGTGCCGATTGGTCTATCAAAAAAAAAAAACCTATCATCAAAGTATGACTAATACACCGCTCTCACGAGAAAGTAACTTTACCTTACCTTTATCTTACCTTTACCTTACTATAACCTTACCTTTACCTTATCTTTACCTTACCTTTACCTTATCTTTACCTTATCTTTACCTTACCTTTACCTTATCTTTACCTTACCTTTACCTTACCTTTACCTTACCTTTATCTTATCTTTACCTTATCTTTACCTTACCTTTACCTTATCTTTACCTTATCTTTACCTTACCTTTATCTTACCTTACCTCTCCTTTACATCACCTTTACCTCACATTTACCTCACCTTAACCTTACCCTAACTTTACCTTACCTTAATTATACATGTGCTTCACCTTTACCATACCTTTACCTTACCTTCACCTTACCTTTACCTTACCCTTACCTTTACCTTGCCTTTACCTTACCTGTGCCTTTACCTTATCTTTACCTTACCTTTACATTACCTTTACCGTGCCTTTACCTTACCTTTATATTACCTTTACGTTACCTTTGCCTTACCATTACCTTTTTATCTTAACTTGTCTTCACCTTACCTTGACCTTACCTTTACCTTACCTTTTCTTTACCTTACCTCCACCTTACCTTTACCTTACCTTTACCTTACTTTTGCCCTACTTTCACCTTGCCTTTACCTTACCTTTACCTTACCTTTACCTTACATTTACTTACCTTTACCTTACCTTTACCTTACCGTTACCTTACCTTTACCTTACCTTTATCTTACATTTACCTTACCTTTACCTTACCTTTACCTTACCTTTACCTTACCTTTACCTTACCTTTACCTTACCTTTACCTTACCTTTACCTTACCTTTACCTTACCTTTACCTTACCTTTACCTTACCTTTACCTTACCTTTACCTTACCTTTATCTTTACCTTTACCTTTACCTTTACCTTACCTTTACCTTACCTTTACCTTACCTTTACCTTACCTTTACCTTACCTTTACCTTACCTTTACCTTACCTTTACCTTACCTTTACCTTACCTTTACCTTACCTTTACCTTACCTTTATCTAGCCTTTGCCTTACCTTTACCTTACCTTTACCTTGCCTTTACCTTACCTTTACCTTACCTTTACCTTACCTTTACCTTTACCTTACCTTTACCTTACCTTTACCTTACCTTTACCTTACCTTTACCTTACCTATACCTTACCTTTACCTTACCTTTACCTTACCTTTACCTTACCTTTACCTTACCTTTACCTTACCTTTACCTTACCTTTACCTTACCTTTACCTTACCTTTACCTTACCTTTACCTTACCTTTACCTTACCTTTACCTTACCTTTACCTTACCTTTACCTTACCTTTACCTTACCTTTACCTTACCTTTACCTTACCTTTACCTTACCTTTACCTTACCTTTACCTTACCTTTACCTTACCTTTACCTTACCTTTACCTTACCTTTATCTTACCTTTACCTCACCTTTACCTTACCTTTACCTCACCTTTACCTTTCGTAAAATGCCATAATGATTTGTTTAGAACAGTAATACAAGCGCTAACGAATCTAATCTGAAGCTTGGCTGGGGGGAGGGAATCGTCACGTTCATCCAACATCCCCGAAGAGGGAGCATTCGATTATAATTTTGAGTAGGTTATGTGCGCCATTTAATGTACTTATTAGAATTGCACGCCACCAAGAGCCTTGAAAAGGACTTTAGCAGTGATTATGCGATCAAAGGAGACAGGCACAAATACTGTCCCGATCGGCGAAGCAGTCGTCTACCGGCGAACCAATAGGCGACCCAGTCGTCGATGCAACCAAGCTAAATTTATCAAGTACATCCCGGGAATTAAAGTTCGGGAGGCGGAGAAGTAGGTAAGAGACCGAATCGCTTTAAAGCGTGTCAACATAAGAGCGACGTTCTGCAAAACGTTCTGCATAATGGTTTTGATGCAAAAGTCACGGCTCACAGCTAGGTTATCAGTGTTGTGAGTTTTAAATCCTTAATCTGGAATTTTTTATTTGTTCTTGTTTGTGTCCTCACAGAGACTTGTATAAATATAAATAAGGTGGTACTTTCATTTTAACTCATATCAAACACGGGAAAGCCCAATATTTTAGGGGTGTTATGGTTAGGGCACGGTGGGGTCTAGCTTTTTTGAATCGTTTTCTGGGGAAGGCGGTGGTTAGGGTTATTGTTAGGGTAACACCCAAATAATATTGGACTTTCCCGGGTATTCTGGAGCTCCCCGTGTGTCGGCTCATTTAAAGTGAAAGTACCAATAAAGTTGGGGTGATGGCTTCCAGCCAGATACCAAAGCTCAATCTCTACAGGTAAAGATGAGCGGATCGACTTCATTGCACAAGATTTTATCCAGTTTGGCTCAATCTCTCTCTCTCTCTCTCTCTCTCTCTCTCTCTCTCTCTCTCTCTCTCTCTCTCTCTCTCTCTCTCTCTCTCTCTCTCTCTCTCTCTCTCTCTCTCTGAGAAACAGTTAGCTGCCTGCGGAGTGCGAAAATCCCTGGGGATCTCCTTAAAAATACCACTCCTGAACTAAAAGGCGCTGCCGTGAAATGAACCCATGACCTTCAGATCGCCAAGCAAACTGCTTGACCACCTAGCTACGGAGACCCGTCTCCAGTTCTACAGTGATGATGCTGTGCATCTCTCTCTCTCTCTATCTTTCTCTCTCTCTCTCTCTCTCTCTCTCTCTCTTTCTCTCTATCTCTATCTCTCTCTCTATCTCTATCTTTCTCTCTCTCTCTCTCTCTTCTCTCTCTCTCTCTCTGTCTCTCTCTCTCTCTCTCTCTCTCTCTCTCTCTCTCTCTCTCTCTCTCTCTCTCTCTCTCTCTCTCTCTAGAAACAGCATGGTATACAAGAAAGGCGACATAAACTTCCACAGAAAGATATGTTGATTGTTGGAATGCTAGCTAACTACTGCTGCTGCTGCTGTTACTACTACTACTACAGTACTACTACTATTATTACAACTACTTCTACTTATTTTTTCCTTCTTCTCCTCCTCCTCCTTCTTCTTCTTCTTTTACTTCTTCTTCTTTTTCTTCTTTTTCTTCTTCTTAGCGTTCACGGGTTGTAAATTCCGACGACAAGTTATGGCTGTTCTTTCACTTCTGGATTTTTGGCTTGTTCTGACGCTTGCGTTTAGCTTGTGCATTCTGTATTAAATCTGGCCTATTTTATGCAGACTGTTGATTCCTCGTCTCTCGGGCAGATGCACTCCGACTGTGAAGGAAACTCTCATAATTAGTTGCCTCTTAGGGCATTCTTATTTTTAGGACAGTAGGTCTACTTTTCCCATACGCACCGCCCCAGGCCCCCTTTTCCGCCCTATAGGGCCCCAGGATCAACATAATTGCAGATACATTTTGTCTTCGAAGGAAACCTGCGTGCACGACAAGCCAGTTACGGGCGCAGTGGGTCTATTTTTGTTCCTCCCAAAACGGGATCCAGCCCCTAAAAAAAGGGGGAAAAAAGAGGGGGAAAGGGGGCGGGGTTCTACTATTCGAGTTACCTGAGACTCAAAGACTGTTGCTCCAAGGAAGGTAATATCGTTATTTTAACATTCTGAAGTTGCCTATGAAGGAAAAGCACCGAGGAAGGGAACTGGCACCGAACCCTCATTTTTCCCACGTCCGACCACAACCACTATGTATATCATGGCTTCCAAAATGTTTGCTTCAAAACTACGTTTTTACGCAATGTCAAGATTTACTTCAATGACATCATTGTAGGTTCTGGCAGTGTTGAAACGAAGGTGGAATCAGTGTCACCATACCTACGATCCTGCAATGGGGAGGCCTTCCTCAATGAGCACAACAGCCATTACAATGGATGATACCAGCACAACCTGTACAATACTGAAGAACGGTAGCAACCGGCTGGTGCGGCCTGTTACCAACAATGTAAAGGTACGTTCGATCCATCGATCACTTTGTCTCCTCCGGGCTTTACTTGGCTTGCTTTAAGAAAAACAAAACTCATTTTTTTCAACCAGTATCCCGGAAGTTGAGTTATTTGGTTATAATTGTGACTAGGTTATGTGCGCCATAAAAATAGCTTAGCATTGCTCGCCACCATGCAGCTCTGAGAACTTTTGCAGTGTTGGTGCGATCAAAGGGGACAGAGCCAAATGCTGCCCGACCGGTGACGAAGTCGTCTACCGCCCAGCCGATGGCCAACCAGGTCGTCGATCATTCTTTTGGCTATAAACAAACAGACAATGTATTGATCGGCACTCATAGAACGCAGTAGAAAGATAGAAGGACACACTGGCTAACATAAAAATCGAAAGCTGGTTACCATGCCAGAAATCGAAGTATGGAAAGCACAGTAACATTAGCTTTTGTTTTTATGTTTTCTTACGTGTCCTTCTATATTTCTACTTCTGTCTATGATTCCCGATCAATGCATTGCCTGTTTGTTTATTATTTATGTAATGTTTCTATGACCTCAAAGGTCAAATAACTAGGACTTTTCTTTTCTGGTGGTACGAACAGTACGCAGTACCGGCATCCTTTTAACCCACTGTACCAAAAAGTTGTCCCGGAGATTCCCATATGCGTAAATAACCAGCAAGAAAATTACGAATGTATTGTTTTTAAAGACGGTGAAATTATGGGGGTGACTGCAGTCAAGCTAATACAAGGAATTCCAGAGAAATTTGACTAAAAAGCTCAATAAAATGGGAAAGCAGAAAAACGTGCACAAAACAACACACATAACGTAACGTTTCAACCGGGATAAAAGTAGAAAGGCTGCTCGGCCGAAACGTTACGTTATTTGTGTTGTATTGTGCACGTCTTTCTGCTTTCCCATTTTGTTGAGCTGTTTAGTCAAATTTCTCTGGAATTCCTTTTTTTTTTAAAGACGCTGAGTACTGGGGAAGCCAGATTCTTGGTAAACTGTGACCAGCTATGGAAAGGACTAGAACATGTTACATGTTGGGTGGGATTCAGACAAGTGCTTATCACACATCATACGTTGTTTAGGACTGAAGAAGTTCAGGCATTTTATTTTTCCATCAATATATTTATAAACACTTTGTGGTCCATACCGGAACTTATTTATGTAGTAAAATCCTTACATATAACTAGTGTAATCACTTTTTGACATGTTTTCTACTTCTTCTGCGTTGATCTGAAGATGTAAATCTGTACACAGTATGACTGTAATATGTGTCCCTTCTGAGGGGCATTTGTTGACCGGGGTAGCCTTCCCGTTTTGTTTTTAGTTCTGAAGTCGTCCAGTTAAGTGTGCAAACTACAGCATATAATTGTTTTGTTATTTTCATCTGTTCCTCAGGATACAACAGAACTGCAGCTGATGATGCCAGCAGGGAAAAGTGATGCAGAAGTGACTTTCAAATCATAAAACTCAAAGGACGTCCTTCTGACGGGCCATGCATCTTGTTTCCAGAACATTCACAGGAAGCTAACAATCACAACGCAGATCACCTGACTGCCGGCTGGCTTTCTAAGATGCCTGCCAACTAAGGATACTTTGTATTTGATCTCTGTTTCAATTTCCTCTGTGAACTTGGTTTCTGTCTAATTCATGGTATTTTTAAAAAGAAAGTAATCATGACTTAAACATTTAAACAAAATATATTTTTATGTGTTAAAGCTAAGGGTATGTGCTACATCTTGTTGGGTGTATGTGTACTGTGTGCAGGGCCGGACTAAAACCCGTTGATACCCTAAGCCAGTGATTCTCAACCTTCCTAATGTCGCGACCCTTTAATACAGTTCCACGTGTTGTTGTGACCCCCAGCTATAAAATATTTACGTTGTACTTCATAACTTCAGTGAATATGTTTTCCGATGGTCTTAGGCGACCCCTATGAAAGGGTCGTTTTACCCCCAAACATTCTTCTCAACCTTCTTAATGTCGCGACCCTTTAATACAGTTCCTCATGTTGTTGTGACTCCCAGCTATAAAATTATTTTCGTTGATACTTCATAACTTCAGTGAATATGTTTTCCGATGGTCTTAGGCGACCCCTATAAAAGGGTCGTTCGACCTCCAACGGGTCGCCACTCACAGGTTGAGAATCGCTGCCCTAAGCACTTCAAATATGTTGTGCTCCCCTTCCCCCTAACACTTAAAAGATATTGGCCCCCCCCCCACCCCCGCTGCCTTAATAGCATTATGTGCGTATAGACAGTATGCTAGAGCTTCTACGACGACAACTCATAAGAATAAAATGTAAAATTGTCTCTCGACATACACATATTAGCGCGGGAGCCGTATGCTTGTGGAAACCCTAGGGCAAGTACCCAGTCAGCCCACATCTAAATGTGATTCAGAATATAAACCATTAACAAAACTGTGCCGAAATTAAACAAAAATTACATTAAGATGGAAAACAATGACTATTTTTTGAATAATTCGACTTTATTTATATTTGAAAAGTTTTCTGCTACCTTTTTGTAATTGCAAAATCCTTGATCAGATCCTCAAACTAATCTAACGCAACACATTTGCTTTTACACTTATTAGAGATAAGGCAACCAGCCACTTTTTGCATTGTGCTCTGATAGGATTTTAAAAAAATACTTTAAACGAGAAAATGAAAGCTCACTTCCAAAGCTACTGAAACTTTATGTGGTGCACCCTGTGTTTATGATGCCCTAAGCACGTACTTAGTGTGCCGAATAGTTAATCCTGCCTTAACTGTGTGTGCACATACACAAAGGTAGAAACGGCTTATCGTTTTCTTTTTCATATGTAGTTATCTTCAGGCCGTGTGCAATGCAGGCTATTTGTTTCGCTGATTATAACTTCAAAACAGTTTTCATGTAGTAAATTTAAATAATATGGACACACACCCACCCACCCACACACACACGCGCGCGCGCGCGCGCACACACACACACACACACTGTAGAATTAATTGCCTAGCATATTAAGCTGTATCTACTCAGATGCAATACTACAGAAATGCTTTAATATAGAATAAAACCCGCATACTTTTTCTTAAAAAACAGAAATCACCTTGTCTTCTCCGGTCGGCCTCTGTGGTTTAGACGTTGCGAACGCCAGGTTCGATACCAGCATCGGGCGCTTTATCTTTCTTTGGTTTCGACAATGGTAACGAGAGCTGACCGTTCAGTGTGCAATGGCCAATTTTTTATTGAACGTAAAATTTGCCTAGAAGTTTGAAGTGTGAACAACCGATCAACGTCATGGCACATGGTAGTAACTCATAAGTGCTCCGTTCTTCTTTTAACTCAAGGTTAGTCCGAAGATGCTCACTTAGCACAGTGCACAGGCTCTGTAGCACCGGCCAGGATCCTGAAATACATTTTGGTAGACTTTTAACTCCAAATTTTGCCTGGGCAGTGCCGTTAGGCTACTGTTTTCGATTTCCAACTGCCAAGCGAGCTTTTACGTGCACAACAATGCACTCGGGCGTCCGATTTCACTAACCAGAGACCAGGGGGAATTACGATAAGTCCAAGTCCACCTGAAAAAATCCTAGCCCTTACCGGGAATTGAACCCAGAACCTGTGGCACTTGAGGCAGACACCATGACTCGAGACCACGCAGCCTAACGCACCCCCCCCCCCCCCAAAAAACACACAACCCTTTCAACGATTCAAACCTAGGTCTTCCGTATGAGAAGCTAGTGTTCCTAACCATTCGGCCAGCCACTCGCTACCTCGTTATGAGTTCACCAATATTCTCCACAGAGACATAACAGCAGCAGTGCTTCACTCCAGCAATCTGAAATGCTGTCTACGAACTCAGGGTTAGATTCAGTCAATCTCCAATATTCTCTGGTTAACGTCCCGATTGTACACTCTCTTAGACTGCTGTTCATAACCAGAACTTTTCTGCCAGAGTTAACAGCCGGCGAAAAATAAGAAGAAGAAGAAAAAGAAGATTTTCTATTGCTGATTTCGTCCCTTTTGTATCGCTACATACCTCTTGTGCTCCAGCCTTCACTTTTTTTTCCTTCACCGTAGTGTTAATGTTTTTTTTCCTTTTATAATTCTGTGTGCCCCAAACAACACACACCATCTGATGAGCTTATGTCTGTTTATAAGGCATTATATCCTGCCTTTTTACTGGCCTGAGTATGCTAGAACAATCTGGCCAAGTATTTTAAAATATAGCAGAGTAGTGGCTCTCAATCTTCCTAATGTCGTTACCCTTTAATACAGTTCCCTCATTTTGTGGCGACCCCCAAATAATTTTTGTTTCCTTCATAACTTCAATAAATATGTTTTCAGATGGTCTAAGGCGACCCTTATGAAAGGGTCATTCATTTTTTTAACAACACTTTTTATTTCCAGTATCTTTAGAGCTTATGTTTCTGTTTTAATAAAATACGATCTGTTATTCTATAAAATCACATCTCTGGGGGTAACAATATTTCCTAACTAGGCTTCTGTGCTATAAAGCAATTTCCTGTCCTTAAATGTATACCAAAAGTTTCAGTAGGGTTAGTATAAACAACATTTGGTAAATATCAGTTATAGTACTTATTACTTAAGAAAGAAAACCCTTTACAACAAAGATTTCCTTATATACCAGTAAGTTCCTTGTGCCAAACATTATGGTGAAACAAACTGATAATTTTGCGCCAAAAATGATGCTGAAACAATTGATAATGTAATTTTCTCAAAGGCCTTTTACTGTGTCAGAGCTGACCATGAAACAGTTTGATAATTTTCTTAGTCAGCTCATAGGACCAGATTTAAGGATGAAACCAGTGTTTTCTTTGAAGACAATTCCGTGTATAAACCTAATTGTGAAACGATTGATAATCTTCTTAGCTTTCCACAGCTGATGATGAAATCATTCATAATTTTCTCAGTCAGTTCATTGTCACAAAGCTTATGGTAGAGCCAGCAATAGTTTTCTTAAAGCCAGTATCTTCTGGCAGAGCTTGTGGTGAACCATTTGATAATTTTCTGAAAGTTTCCATTGTTATGGGGCAAAATGTATGCCATGTATATTGTTACTACTTATAACACGTTTAAATATGTGCACCTATGTGCTGACACATCTGACATCTGTTCACTGACTACATTTACAAAATATTTGACCCTAGTTAATTTTTTATTGTTTTCGTTCATTATAGAATAACATGCCCTAAGCTATCTAGTGAACAGAATTGACAGATGGAAGAGTACACTGTTTACAGGATTTCAGGGATCCTTCCATTAGCTAATCTGCTGGCACATCTGGAGCAGAAGTGGAGTACCGCTTGGTGCCTCCTGCTTGTGTTTTGCCATATACTCCTCATGCCAATAGTAAGCTTTACCCCACCAGGACATCACACACGCGATAAAAACTCGGTGACACCATTTAGGATGAGCATCACACGTGTAAAGTTTCCAGAAACCACGTTTAACTGTTAGGTTATATTAGGGCTCCCGGCAAAGGCTGGGATGGGGCTTCAAAATAGCGGAAAATTGTATCCTACATGGGGACGACGAATCATAATTTAAACTATTCTTGCATATGGTAAGTTTTCTTCAGTTTGCTGTTTAACATTCTTCGCTACTGCTTACTATTGAGCTAAGTTTGTGATAGTTTCCACCCATCTTCAGTTTTCTGTTTAATATTCTTCGTTACTGCTAACTATTGAGCTAAGTTTGTGATAGTTTCCATCCATCTTCAGTGTTTATAATTAGTGTTTCTTCTTCTTCTGCGTTCATCAGAAGATGTGATTGCATTGTGTCTGTTTACAGCATGGCTGCGATATTTGCACGTTTCGGCCAACACATCCTACTTCTGCGGGCATTTGTTGACCGGGTAAGCCTTCCCGGTTTATTAGTGTGTAATGACATTTTATTGTGTCTGCTGTATTATTTGTGTTTTCTCTACACCAAAACAAATCTGATTTCGATCATCCGTATATCTCTTGGCGTCTGTGGCTTAGACATTGCGAACGCGCTTTGTAATGCCAGGGTTCCGGGTTCGATCCCTGCTGTGGGTCCTTGCGCTAGTTTCAACAGTGATATCGAGAAGCCGACCGTCCAGGAAGCAATGGCAAACTACTGGACGTAAATTTGCCTAGACAAACCACCACAGCCAAAAAATGCTGGGGTTGGTTCTGCAACGTCCTGTAAAGGATACGCAACTAACTTATATCTCTTGACAAACAAAATCAACTAGTTTATGCTTTGTGCTGTTTGAGAGAAAGATATTATTTGTATCTGAGTTCTGCAATTGTAAATCCAACAAGAATAAGTGAAGCGAGCCTGTCACATGTCTTATAAAAAAAATACCAGTTTCATATGTCAGCAAATGTATCAACCGTGTGAATTTTCTGGCAGTAGTGTCAATATATGGTGACGGTACATGAGTTAAACATTCCACTCTATGGTTATTGTTGTTGCCAATATTGTTTATGGTGA